ATATAGAAGTTCCAAGTCTGTTAGTAGCTTGGGGCCAGCCCTCTAGATAGCTCACCAGTACCCCCATCCTCCTGTTCCCTTGGTGGGAACTGTTTTAGGGAAAAAGTTTGACTAGCTCTGCCTTTATTCTCTGGAATGTAAATTCCTAAGAGTAGGCTTCTGGTTGGGGCAGATGCAATGTAATGAATAACTGAATAAAGGCTGGGGTGTGTGGGCGGATCCTAGGGGACACAGGAGCAGGGGGCACGGGGTCCACCTGGGTCTGGGTGGGGCCTGATAGCTTGAGTTTCTAACAAGCCCCAGCTGGTGCTGATGGAGCTTCCTGGGGACCACACTTTGACAACTGCTGCTTTACTGCTGTGAGGGTAGCAAGGCAGTCCAGGCATCTGAATTTTGGTTGGAAACTAATATCTGTCATCACTGATCCAATCCCATCCCTAATTGGAGCAGTTTTCCAATCTTTAGAAAGATAGAGTCTAAGTTAGAAACTTAGAAGTTTCTAAAAACTGTTTTTCAGAATTTGCATTTCTTTTTTATTTTTTAAAAAAGATTTTATTTATTCATGAGAGACACACAGAGAGAGAGGCAGAGACTCTCAGAGGCAGAGGGAGAAGTAGGCTCCATGCAGGGAGCCCAATGCGGGACTCGATCCTGGGACCGTGGGATCATGCCCTGAGCCAAAGGCAGAGCTCAATCACTGAGCCACCCAGGCATCCCCAGAATTTGCTTTTAAACACTTTGTAAATTATATTTGTTGTTTTTATAATCCTTCTCTATGAGGGTTGTAACAGTTAGAAAAGTTAAAGTAACCTAATGTCTAGAAATATGGGATCAATTTGAAGAACTTAATGTTTACTAACTGGGAAATAACTGGAACAAATCCATGACCCCGGGCTGATCCGCTGCCTGTCTGCTCTGAGATCTGCGCCTGCCTCCTCTTGCTGGCTCAGTTTCCCAGGGCAACGCAAGGCTGAGGAGCCCCTGCCCTCTGGATGTGGGTGAGCCCCACCAATGGGAGGTGCTGGTGGAAGACCAGGGAAAAGATGGGAGAAGCAGGGTATTCCCCCCCCCCCTACTTGGACAGTATCTGATCCATCCTGGCCGACCTCCTTCACAGCCCTTGATGCAAACAGCTCTGAGCTCCATGGTTCCAGCTACTGCCCCAGCATCCGGTTCTGCATCTCCCCCTAAGGTGGAAATGTCTTCCTGCCTTGACCATATCCGTGTTGCCTCACCAGCTGGTTTCCTAGCTCTGCCAATATCTGCATAAGCCACTGACTCTAATCTCCCACTGTCTAAAAGGAGGGCTTCCTGTCTTTGACCAGACCTAGCCTAATACCAACAGTATCCTGGTCAAAGGCTTTCTAGCTAACCTACTAAAGAATATATGGCAACAGTATTGGACTCTGCAAAAACTGGTATTCTCGGGCACCTGGGTGGCTCAGTGGTTGAGCATCTACCTTTGGCTCAGGTCGTGATCCCAGGGTCCTGAGATCCAGTCCCATATCAGGCTCCCTGTGGGGAGCCTGCTTCTCCCTCTGCCTCTCTCTCTCTCTCTCTCTCTTTATCTGTGTGTCTCTCATGAATCAATAAATAAAATCTTAAAAAAAAACCCTGGTATTCTCTAATGCATATGTTGTTGCTTGTTGCATGTCTGACACAGGGTGGGCACTGGGGACGTCAATGGTGGTTGGGGAAGGGACTTAAGCTCCTCCATCATCTCCATCAAGTTCTCTTTCCTTTCTCACCACAAATCAGTCTGTCTCCTGTACAGTGTAATGTCCTTACAAGTCTCCTATCTTCCCCTCCAAGCTCTTAAATGCTGCCTATATCTATTTACAGGTATTCTTTTTATTTTATTTTATTTTTTTATTTACAGGTATTCTAAAACTGCCACTGCAGATGCTATAGGGCCATAAAGACCTTCATACTATTTTTAGTAATCTCATGAAAATACTCAACATCATTGATGAGTGTGGGTGACGGCAGTTAATAAATAAGCTTATAGATGCTCCTTATGGCTGGGAAAATAAGGAAGTTGTTCCCTATTATTAGTATAGGCATGGGGCATATTGACCCTTTCCCCCATTGTTACTATGGTGTCAGGAGGCTAGTTTTTAATATGCCCCTAAATGCTTCAGTGAGGCTCCACATCAACAGCTTAATACAAATACCTAAAACTCCTAGCATTGGTAATCCAGATACCCCCATTTGCTTATCAACATGCTTTTGAAATATATGTTGAAGAAGTGCAGATTTTCCCAGACAGCTCTGAGGAGAAAGTGACTGAGACCATATATACATCTCAACTGATCTTCATCAGTCACGTGGAATTAGATGTTTCCCCCCAATTCTGCTACTTGAGTAGAATCTTGTTTGCTGATGAGTCAAGAGAACGTGCCATTGAAAACCAAACCAAGCATGCTGTTCAAGGATAATCGCCATGGCACCAAGACTCAGACCCAACTGAAGATGGGGGTGGTGGTGGTGGGTAAACCATGATCTTCTGAATGGCTTTCACTTTCCAAGAATTTGAACAAGTGCATTCTGGAGCATCTTCAGACAACAGAGATATAGTTTATTTGAGAATATTTTAAAGACCTGAAGATGGTATGTTTTTATTTAACACGTGCAGTTCTCCTTTTCGTGTGTGATTAGTGGGCCCCCTTCTTCATACTCTTGACCACCTTGGTAGCAGTATCATCTGACAAAACCCAACTCAGTTTGTTGGCCGATTGAGTGACTTTGGTTCAAGCCATATAGGAAGCTTGGCATCACCCACCCGTTAGCAGGTATCTGCTTAGAAACATAAAAGACATCCTTGGCATTAGCACATGACCACTTTCATTTTTCTGGCCATGTTACCAGAAGGATGGGTGAAAGAACATGTACAAAATCACATAGGGGGTCTACGGGAAGAGGAGGAGGAACTTGAAAATCCAGTGCACCGAAGAAGGTCTAATGTTATAATTATGGGAATGGGCTCTGGAGTCAAAATCTGGATTGGCCTCTTCAAAGCCGGTGATCTCCAGTGAGCCAGTGAGCCATTTACCTTCTGTTTTGCCAATCACCAGATGGGGAGCATAGTAACATGCAATCCTGCGGGGTTCCCAGTGAGATCACATGATTTAAACATGTGATGGGCCTGGCAAAGTGAATCTGGCAAGTAGGAGGATCTTAAAAGTTGGCTGCTCTCAAGTTCATGGTCGTTGTCTGTGAGAATATTCTTTTTTTTCTTTGTAAAGTTTTTATTATTGATGATAGTCAGAGAGAGAGAGAGAGAGAGAGAGAGAGAGAGGCAGAGACACAGGCAGAGGGAGAAGCAGGCTCCATGCACTGGGAGCCTGACGTGGGATTCGATCCCGGGTCTCCAGGATCGCGCCCTGGGCCAAAGGCAGGCGCCAAACCGCTGCGCCACCCAGGGATCCCTGTGAGAATATTCTTGAACCATGGGTGCTATTTGTTTTTAGACACTGTGAATAGAAATAAGTGATGTTCTGACCGAATCCTCCCTGGAACCGCATAGGAATCAGGGTGCATCTCCAACACACAGTACGCCTCCTGTTTGGTAAATAGCTTTCTTTATCTGGGAGTGGAGAGAAGTCTGGAAGAAACCTGAAGTATTTAGAAAAAGCTAAGTTCTGGAATGATGAGGAAGCCCCAGAGGAGGTGATGTGGATCGAAGTTTATACCACAGGGCCTTAAAAGGCTACAAATAATGATAGCTTTAAAAGTAAGAATAGCTCAGGGCTAGAGGCTTGGAGTCAACGAGTTCTGGGTAAGTCCCAGTATCCTAGAGTGCCCAAACCATAGAGAATCTTCGAGAACATTCCACTCCATAACCTCATTTTATAAATGTGCTCAGGACTCAAGGCTGGGAGCATGAACTGCTCAGGGAACAACAACAACAACAAAACCCAGATGGTCTCACACTTCAGATGACCGCTACATATGCAGAATCGAATCCCCAGTGTTTCTCTGAAGTATAGGAAAAACAGTTTGTGCACTTGAAAAGACTGAACATGATTCTAAGGCTTTAGTTACTCCTCATCACCCAGCTGGGAGCAACACCCTCTGCTAGTTATCAGGACACAAAGAGACAGAAGAAAGGGCTCACCACCCACTCATGCAACATACATTCTCTGAGCACATGTTACGTGCCAAGGACTGAATTCGATTCTAGGGATCCAGCAAGAGTTTACAGTCTAGCAAGGGAAAAATGTATAAACAACTACGAGCTGATGACTAGTCTAGTGTTAAAATGATTGCAGTGCGTCACCTACACTGGAGGCGGGTTGGGGGATGGGGCAACTGGGTGATGGGCATTACGGAGGGCACGTGATGTAATGAGCACTGGGTGTTATATAAGACTGATGAATCAATGACCTCTACCTCTGAAACTAATAATATACTATATGCTAATTAATTGAATTTAAATTTTAAAAAGAAAAAAAAAAAAGATGCGTCACCCAGTGTTACATAAGGAGCTCCTGAGTAATCTTGGGAAGATTAAGAAGGCTTGTGGGCAAAGGTGAGCAGATAAAGCACTGGTGGAGTTCTGAACCACATTCCAGGGGGAATGCAACATGAAGGCAGAAATGCCACCTCTTACACGGTCTCTCTTAGCGCCACCCTTCTTTTCTCCATGTCCACTGCCACCGTCCCGTCCCATGACATCATCCTCCTGTCACCTGCATCCACCTGATACCTTTGCCACACGGAAGTCATGTGATCTTTTTAGGACACAAATCTGAATCATAGCACTCTCCCTGCCTATAAAACTTTTCAAAGGTGCCCAATGCCCTCAGGATATTTAATAACACAAAATAATGGTGATGATGATGATAAAAGTATCAAACTCACACAAAGCTTCCTAGGTACCTGGTGTTAATCAACTTGCTTTATGAGTCTGATTTATCCCTATTATTTGTGGATTCCATCTTTGTTTTAATTCATCTAACTTGCTAAAATGTATTTGCAATCCCCAAATAAATACTCACTGTGCTTCTGCAGCCACAGTGGCAGTGGGCCGAGTGGCAAAAAATTTGAGTCATCTGATGTGTGTGTTTCTAGCTAATCTCACACAAAGGCAACGTTCCGCCATCTTGTTTCAGTTCCTCATACTGTAAATCTTTCAGTGTGAAGACTTGGTTGGGTCATGCTCATCTCACATGTCCTACAATTGTATCCTGAAACAACACAAGTAAAAAGGAAACAACGAAATTCTACTCAAACCTGAACAGAAGCCTGAAAGACAGACTTTGGGGATTGCTTGGTTTACTGGTTTTAATGTTTCTGGTAATAAAAACTGTAGTGAAAGACCAAGTAATAGAAGATGAAATGGAAAATGGGGAGAATAGACTTTTTCCCCAAAACATAAAGAAGAGAAGAAAATTGCTTACCTGTTGTGGAGATTGTCCATTAGGTCTCTCTCGAAGTTTTAACTTCTCTTCCTGCAACAACAAAAAAGTTGCAAGTTGAGTCTGCAAGTTGCCTCCTGTTCACAGCCAAGTTGCCTCTTGAAACTGACAGCAGACAGCATGTCCCGAGGGGGTACTAGGCACTGATGTAGGGGAATGGAGTTCCAGGCCCAGGAAGACCAGAGCCTTAAAACTTGCCAGGCCCAAGTCTGCAGCCTAGGTGCTGACAATCAGCGATAAACTAATAATCCACCCAAACTTCAGTGTTTTCCTCTGTAAAGTAAGGTTGTAGGGAGATTTAAATGGCACAACATGCAAGCAGTCTATCATGTGCTGCGCATGCTGGACTCATTCAATTACCAAAAGCCACTGTTGTTATTTACTACTGTTGATAAACATCACACGACAACACAACTCTTCTCTGATGGGTGACGTTTCAACTAAACAGAAAAAAATTCAAGGAATTTGCTTCCTGGAGGCATATCAGTCAGAGTTTCAATGAATACATGTACAATATTTTAATAAAATACATAATTTTAGAAAATAGCTTTGCTCTGTGAAAATAATGATGCATAAGATTTGAGGAAGTAAAGCTAATGTTCAGATTTTTACCAAATACTCTGTGATTATTAGAATCTGAAATCTGAGAGAAACAGTGGCAGATAGAAACATAATGATGGTCAGATGTGGTGGGAGGGCCTTTCGGGTAGAGGAAACATGACAAAGACGAGACAGGAAGGGATGGAGTATTATTTAGTGAACAAATAACTAAATTCCTGCTGTGTGCCAGGCACCAGGAAACTGCAGTGAATGGGAGACCATGCTGTGTGCCTTATGAAATAACAGTCCTATGTGCGAAAGAGGGAATATTCCAGATTGCTTGGTGTTTAAAGAACTTGGAACTTGCCATGTGGTTGGTAGACTTGCCATGTGCCAAGTACCTCGTAGGAAACCCACTGGATGTGGCAGTTTGGAGTTACAGATAAGAACCTGTTTAAGAGTGGGGAATGAGGGAGCACCTACGTGGCTCAGTCGGTTAAGCATCTGCCTTCAGCTCAGGTCATGATTCCAGGGTCCTGGGATCAAGCCCCACATCAGGCTCCCTGCTCAGCCGGAGTCTGTTTCTTCTTCTCCCTTTGCCCCTCCCCTACTCGCACACATGCACACGTGCACATGTGCGTGCACACTTTCTCAAACAAATAAAGAAAAATCTAAAAAAAAAAGTGAGGAATCCAACTTGAAGAGGGAGCATTTCAACTGAGTAAACTGAGATGCACAAAATGAGGTGGAGCCAGCCATGCGCTCAGTAAGCCATCCCTTTAACAAGCCATTCCTTTGTTAAGAAGCCTCAAGTGATGGGCCACCTGGATGGCTCAGTGGCATGATCCCACATCTGGGGATCGAGTCCTTGCATCAGGCTCCCTGCAAGGAGCCTGCTTCTCCCTCTGCCTATGTCTCTGCCTCTCTCTGTGTCTCTCATGAATAAATAAATAAAACCTTAAAAGAAAAAAGAAAAGAAGCTGTAAGTGGTTCTGCATTGCCTACCAAGTCTTTAACATTCTCAGCTCAGCATCCAGGGCCTTCCATAATATGACACCAGTGGCTCTGCCAGATTATCTCTGGAACTTCTCTAGCTAATCCTATTTCCAGTCCATCTGGATTTTTTGCTCTTTTCTAAACACGCTTATATTTTCCTATTTCTGTGCCTTTGTACATATTATTTTTCCCAGTCAGTATGCCTCCATGCCCATTGATATTTTGCAAAATTCTTTTTTTAAAAAGATTTCATTCATGTATTCATGAGAGACACAGAGAGAGAGAGAGAGAAAGGCAGAGACACAGGCAGAAGGAGAAGCAGGCTCCATGCAGGGAGCCCGATGTGGGACTCGATCCCAGGACCCCAGGATCATGCCCTGGGCTGAAGGCAGGCACTAAACCGCTGAGCCACCCAGGGATCCCCTATTTTGCAAAATTCTGATCCTTCAGGCCTATTGCCCATATCACCTCCCCCATAAAGTTTTTTTTTTTTAAATCCATTAAACGTAATCACTCCATTCTTTTCTATAGGATCCTTAACTTCTTGGATGGTTCTGATGACTTTTTGCCTTGCATTATAGTGATTCACTTATATAATGTTCCCTCTGTTAGACAGTAAACTTTTAGTAGGGAGGGGTCATGGCTTCATCATTTTATCCACATGTGGTGTCCTCTGACACAGTGACATGCGTATAGATGGTACATGGCATATCTTTTAGAAATGTGTTATAAATATCATTGAAAATGTTAAGGTGCTTAATACCAATGTATTATACAATATTGTACATATTTAGCCAAATCTAAGATGCATTTGTATTCATTTGCCTTTTAATACTTTTTTTAAAAAGATTTATTTATTTGAGAGAGAGCAAGCGGGGGGGGGCAGGGAAGGAGAGAGAATCCTGAGGCAGACTCCCTACTGAGCAAGGAACCCAACGTGGGGCTCCATCCCAGCACCATGAGACCATGACTTGAGCCAAAATCAAGAGTTAGCTGCTTTACTGACTGAGCCACCCAGGAGCCCTTGCCTTTTAACACTTCTAAAACTGAAACGCGTCTTACAATCACTGGCACATCATAGTTAAGTTGGTGACATTATTTTCTAGTTTTGTGTTATATGAGATGTATATAAGTACATGTTATAACCTCTGACATCTAATATTCAATGAAATACGGTATTTTAATCCTATATTATTGTTTGTTATCTCAGGAGCATGTTATGCATACACTTTACTAAATATATCCGATGTTAAATGAGTGTCTGCCTTGGACCCAATTATATGAATATTATATGAGTATAAGACATGGCCCATTTACCAAGAATTTCTAAGACGAAAACTAACACTATCCAGAGATGCAGTAAGGATTTTACCACCTGTAAGCACTATATAAAGACTATATATCAAAACAAAAATAATAACCACAAATAAGACACTTCAAAGAAATTCTACTTTTCCCCCAGGAAAGACTTTTTGAAATAAATTCTTTCAAAAGAAAGTGTTTGTGCACCTGCTTTGCTGGCGCCTTAGGTACATGACTAATTTATTTGTTGGGCAAGATAGCATTGGCATTACAGTGGGTTGTACATGGTGAGGACCCAGTGATTAGTAAAGCCAATCAGTTCTAGCCAATCATGGAAGTTTAGGAGAAGTAGCAGTCCCAGTGTAGATGAGATGCCAGGAAGGCTTTACGGAAAAATAGGGACATGAGAGGTGTTAGAAATGAGCAGAGACAGTTTCAGTAAAAGGAAAAGGCTACAGAAGAATATGACTTGTACAAAAGACAATGGAGAGGCCCATGCTGTGGATTTGGGGATGGAAATGGCATGTGCGATGATGTTACTGGGGCTCTTGAAAGTAGGCACAGAGGACCACATGTGACGTGATGGGTGATGGGAGTAGGTTCTCAAGCAGCAAATGGCAGGATGGTAGCAATATATCAGAAAGCCCCACCTGCTAGCAGCAAACAGGGGAAATAACAAGAGTCATGTACAGAGAGACTTGCTAAGAGTTGATCCTTAGAATTAAGTGATGAGATGAAAAAGCCTGGTGTGTGGTGGTATCAAAGAGAAATCCAAAGGAAAGAACAAATTTGGAAAACATTTTTTTTCAAGCTTTCCTTGGTTTTTGAGTTAAGCATTGATTTCTACCATCCCTGGTTTCTCTTAGCACTTTGGCTTATACACTTATTATATATAGTGTCTTGGGAAAGTTGTGTTGCCCCACTACCTGTTTTCTTATGCGTAAAATAACAATTATGGTAGTACCTTTTTCAGGGAGTAGTTGGGGTTAAGTGAAAGAACACAGTAGAATATTGAGCATAGTGGTTTGTGCAAACTATAATCTTAACGTTAGCTCTGATTTGTCATTCATTGTCACTGTCACTATCACCCTCATTACCACCACTACTACCACCACCATCGTCATCATCTACCACTTTCTGTTTTTCTACCCGACACTCACTGGAAGTTCTTTGATTCTAATGATCACATCTCATTATCTTTGCTTCTTCAAAAAAAGAATACAAAGTAGGACTTTCACAAATATGTACTGGGTTTTGTGAAAAGTAAACAGCCAGATCTCCATGAAAGAAGGAAGTAGTGTGACAAAAGAAGGAATTCTTGAAATTATTCCTATACTTGGAGGCTGACAAGTGGGGAAAATGGTGGTTTCACAAATAGGGCAAGTGGAAGGAGAACCACGTGCAGTATTTGAGAGAGCCTGAGTTCAGCATTTAGCGTCCTGTGTTGAAGTGATGGGTGGGGAGATGGTAAGAGAAAGGTTCGGAGTGAACAAACGCAGCCAGCCACCTTCCATTACAAAATAAGAAGAGGCATACATATGCTTACAGAGAGAGCAAGAGTCCATAAAAACAGAAGGCCCATGGATGTGAAGTCAGCAAGCCAGCAGTGTAGAAAGCCAAGAACCAGCCCAATTTAGCAGAATCCTTAATGGCTTTAGGACACTAGGGACAAAGAGGGGAGGGCTAGAATCAGGATAATTTGGAAGGTGTTTAAGAAGCAGGTTCCTAAATCTTTTTCTGCACACTCAGCTTTTGGGGTAGTTTCCACTCTCTATCTCATCTGAAGAAGGTAAGTTAAGTTTCTGGAAAGGGTAAAAACAGGGTTTCTGGACCAGGAACATAGTAGAGAACATACAGCAGAGGGCGGGGGATCTGAATCCAAAACAGGATTAAGTGAATGTGTGCACATGGAGTGCTGAGAGCCTCAGCCTGCTTCTCTCCTTGGCTCTGGGAATGCTGGCACACTCACCCTTTAGTTGTCCTCCAGACATCTGAGGAAAGTCTCTAACAGGAAAGACAGTTTGAAAGCAACCAACCAACCAATGAACCAACAAAAAAGCACTTAACACAAAAAGTAGAGTGAAGAAAACTAAGTTGGAAATTAAAACAAGACAATAGGAGCCCCTGCGTGGCTCAGTCAGTTTAATTATACAACTTTTGATTTCCGCTCAAGTCACGATTTCAGGGTGGTGAGA